TCATTCAGCCAATCTCTAACATTTGTAGCAAAATGGGCAGGGGCTCCATTCTGCTGAAACCAGTCCGGAAGTCCCTCGCCTAGGCGCACACGTAGGAGGAATATTGATTTTCCCAACGTTTAAACATGTTAGTTGTTAGTTGCCCAATTTTTCCACGTCTGACGACGACCGGTTGGTCCGTGTCGAAAATTCACGCAATAAAATTGGACATTTCCCAAAGAAAGTCTTATTCTCATAATTAATATCTTGGGATGCAAATATTTCATTACATATAGTATGTATATCAGTATATCTATCAAAAACCATCGGCATATGAGAATGTCAATGAATGTGGTTTTGATTGGACGTTGGTTACACAAGGATTTGAGGAGAAGAAAGTACTTTAACGTGTCTTAACTGTGAGAGGTTAAAGCGGTGGTCATTATTCCCCTACCCATGAGAGAACAGTGAAAAGGGGTAGAATCCGGAATCACATTTTTCAAAATGACGGTAAGAAAAACGTTCTCGACTACCACCTCCACATAAAACAGAATCTCTTACTTGAGGATCGGCAAATTAGTAGCTGTTTAACGAAGTGGTCGGAAAAAAGGACGTGTGTCCCATGCCTTGCAACATTTTTAAATTTGGGTAAATTTGATGCACATTTTGGCTTATGGGACTTTCATGGATGCCCTACGCCTGACAGAATCACGGATTCTACCCAGTGCAGTTCGAGGAGCTACCTCACTTCAAAGGCTTCCTGGTTCCAGCACAGAATCATTTACATTTATAGGCAGAGCAATCCCAGGTGACTCCAACTGCGATCTGTCTGGAAGACAATAGAGTCGCCAGTATCCTTAGTGTCGTCCATTTACGAATATGAAATCAGGGTTGTCCGGATCTGAGGAAAAAGCACAAGTTTTGATGGTCTGTTAAACTACCGTTGGCACCTAGGCCTCAAAAGCAGCCCTAAAACTGCAGAGACTAAAAACTTAGTAAAAATGCTGCAGCGGTGAACTTACGCGGTGGGAGGCTTGGCAGACTTCTCCTCCGTGCTGGCTGCAGAAGCAACTGGCGATTTCACAGGACTAACAGCAGGCAATTCCACCTTCGGCACCTCGAGCTCCTTGTTACCCTGTCCATGATCGACCGGTATAAATTCAGTATCCTCTTCTTCCTCCTCAACTTCATCAGAGTCACTGTCAAAGTTATACTTCCTGA